GAATCAGGCGAACCTGATAAAACGCCCCCCTGGTCACGGCCGACAGATGGTCATCCAATGTCAGCCGTGGATCCAGGAGGACTCCCAAGTTGCGCGCCCTCTCTGAGGGGGCCAGGATTTCGCCCCCTATAGTCAGCGATGGCGTCAGCTGACTATGCCGAGGCGCCGGCAACCACAGCCACTCGGTCTTGGAAGGGTTCATGTGTGCTTGCATGCGTAAAGGCACCTCCACCACCCCCCGAGCCGCCAACCCTGAAAGGTTGGGGCCCCCCTGCCCTAGTACCCTGGGATTTTTTTTTTCTTCCACTCAATTGTGTTTGATTCTCGGACAAAAGGACTGGTTTTTGGTGGGATAATTTCCTTACTTTTAAATCCCCCCCAGAAAGATCCATAGTTGTACTGATGAAAATTCTACCATTTGGACAGCAAAAACAGGTAAAATGATTTTGGCCTCTTCTCTGGAGGAAATGTAAAGGCTAGAGGCCTTCTGTTTATAGTCCCATCCTTAAAAAAAATAAAAAAACCAACCCCCCCTCTTTCAGCCTAACATAGTTATTGTGACATTAGCAGTTCCAGTGCTGCTACAGAAAATGGGAGAGGTTAACACCCCCCCTAATTTCAGATTTGCTCAAAGTTGTCTTAGTGAAGCATAGGGGAAAGAAAAAAGCCCTAGCAGAATTTAATAATACTTCATGCTCTATTTTTTATTTTTATCCCAACCTTGAAAAGTATCGAAGTCTTTTTGCTACACATAACATCAGTCCAAGAAAACAGCGATGAGACATACAAAAAAAAAATATGACCCAGTATAAGGAAAATGACTATATCTTTAAGAAGAGGAGGAGGAGGAGGGTCTAGAACACAAGACTTCCCACCTTTCTAGGATTTGCAAGCAGCATAACCTGGGTAATAGCAGCGGGTGGCTTGATGGGACTGAACGGCACTAACTCTGTCCCTGAAGGTGGCTGCAGCTTTACTTTCATGGACTGTAAGGGAAAAAAAATCAAAAACAAAAGTTAAGGCAATGCCTGCTTCTGTAGAAATGTTGCTAGATAGCACATTTGATTATAAGCATATTTAGAAAAATGGGAATATTTTCCAAGAGAAGATCAAAGCGCTCACATAGCTGTCTAGTGTAACTACCTTCATAAAATTAATTTAGAATCGGCTGAGGAAATCCCCAGAGATTTAGTGGAATTCAACATTATCCAAAGACGTTCCAAAGCAGTAACTGGGAACAAGAATCCTGCAAAACAGTAACACAAAGACTCCTGCTTCTCCTTAGGAGTAGCCATCTTCGATTTAGCCCTGTGACCCATAGGGATTCCTTGAGGAAAAGTCTGAAGTTTCTGCCTACACCAATACAAGAATTCTACATTCTTCTCTGGTTGGTTCTTGGCCATTGTTATCCTCTCTATCCCTTACCTTTGGCACCGCAGCTTGTAACACAATATTCTTGATGGGAAGAGGTGCTGTATTCAACATCGATACCACCACCACCAACACGTCAGGACGCCCAGGAGGGCACTCCTTTGCAAAGTGCAGCAGAATACGCAGACCGTTCTTGTCGTAAGCAGTCATGGGAAGAACGCTGCCTGCAAGGTGAAGGAAGTATTTATTTTCAGGGTAGAAGAGCAACATGCCATCAACAGAATAAGCACTATGGGCTTTGACATGGCGACGGTGTCATAACGGAAATTGCAATCTAGCTTTCAAACTTGCAATCCGTAGCCCGTTCTAATGTTGTTGGGGGCAATAGGCTGACTCTATAAACCACTCATGAGAGTGCTGTAAAGCACTATGAAGCAGTATATAAGTCTAAGTGCTATTCCTATTTTATCCGAGAGTCCAACACAGCAGCAGCCATCAGCCTGAATGCTAGGGGCCTAAACCAAGAATAGGCATCAACAGCTCAAAATATGACTTTAGAGGCATGCAGTTCAGTGTTGTGGGTGGGGTGGGACATGTCATGTAGCTGCACATGATTTGAACCTGAGTCCCTAGTGCCACTATCTTTAAACCCTGAAAATAAGGTCTACTTATAGGATGACACAAGTGATGGAGAGGTAGCATAGTCTGCCTAACAGAGAAAGCACTAAGCCTTTTGTATAAAGGCAAGCGATAATTCTTCAGTTGAGTGTTAAGATTCAAGGACTCAGAATGTCATGCTAAAGAGTCCTTAGTGTCACTACAGGAGAAAAGAGGCTGCCACAAAAGCAAATTCAGCAGCTAATTTGTCACTGGCCAGTTACTCTTCCCATGTCTCCACCCCACCATCCTCAATAAACAACAGCT